CAGTTTACCACATGGTGGTGCTGATCTATCAGTCTGTCTGCCTGTTAATACCCCACCACACAGGCATAGCCTAGAGGAAAGATTCAAAGTATGATCACTACCCGTAACCTTGCAAGTGACGCTTGCCACTCTGCTCAAAGCAATCCTGTCTTCACCTTTTTTGGCATGTCCGTTACAATTACGACATGTGTATGCATCTTGTGTTCTAGCCACCGGCAAGGTGCAGTGACCGCCTCCAACTCCATTCTCATGCTAGATGTTGTGGTATCATATGCCAGGCTGTCTTGCGCTAAAAATTTTTCATTAGCTTTCACAGCCTGTGGTATTTCTGACAGATGCAAGAGTGGTGCTTCAGGCACTCCAAGGCACTCCAATCTGGAAAACTACCTGGTATACGAACACTACTCTCCAAACTAGGCAGCCGGTGTAAGGTAACTATGCAATGGATACCATCCCACTGTGGAGATCTTGGAAATGAAAGAGCTGATAAACTAGATATGAAGAGGATTGAAAGGAAATTACAATATGAGCTGCGTGAAGCACAAGTGGGTTTCAGACAGGATAGAGGAACTAGTGATCACATCTTTAATATGAGAATAATTTTTGAAAAATGCAGAGAATACAACATAGATCTTCACGCTTGTTTTATAGATTATAGCAAGGCATTTGATTGTATCCAACATCAGAAACTGTGGACTATTATGAGAAGTATGGGGTTTCCAGCGCATTTAGTGTATTTAGTTGAAATTCCTTATCATGAACAACAAGCAGCCATCAGAGCAGCTGGTGAAACATTGGATTGGTTAGAGGTTGCAAAAGAGGGGGTGAGGCAGGGGTGCATTCTGTCACCATAACTATCCAAAATATAAGCAGAAAATATAATGAGAATTGTCAAAAATGACCAGAATTGTGACAGTTATGATCCGCTCAAAATTGGTTGCAACCCTCTTCCGGAACTCCGCTACGCAGATGACACAGTCCTCGTTTCGAACAGCGTAAAAGGAATATAAAATTTAATATTGTCTGTCCAAAAGCACAGTGAAGATCAAAGTCTGTTCTTGAATTTAAAGAGAACAAAAATAATGTCCACAGATAAAACTGGCTGGCACCCAAAAATATTGAAAATGTCACAAACTATGAATATCTAGGCTCTTTAATAAACAGCAATGATGACTGTTCGACAGAAATTAAAAGGAGGATGGCCATAGCAATACAAAGATTGAACAGCCTTAAATGTCTATGGTTAAGCACCAGAAAAGAGATCAAAATAATAATTTTGAGAGCATGCATCTTCCCTGTGGCTACATACGGATGTGAGTCATGGACTATCTCTCAGTCCTTAAGAAAGAGAATAGGGGCTTTTGAGCTGAAGTGCTATAGAAAGATAATCAGAATCTCTTGGACAAAGAAGAGGAGAAATACTGACATCTTGAAAGATCTGAACATCAATGAAGATTGGCTAATAAACAGCATCCTGTCTCGAAAGCTGAAATATTTTGGTTATATCAAGCGCCACGCCGAATTGGAAAAAATTATAGCAGAAGGCATGGTACCAGGAAGGAGAGGCAGGGACCGACCGACACAAAGATGGGCACAGGATATAAGTGACTCCTTGAGTATGAAAGTACATGAAGCGGGAGAACTGGCAAGAGACTGATTTTCTTTCAGGCAGTCTGTGATGAGAGCGACGTTCTGCAAAGGACCTGCTACATGATGATGATGATAAACTAGATAAGGAAAGTGAAAATGAAGAACAACCTGATGTACGAGTCTCTTATCAACAAAAGAAGAGAATAATTAAATCAATCAGAAAGCCACCAAAACCGGCTCAAGACTATTTCCATTTTATGGACAGACCAGAGCAAGTTTTTATTCTACGCCTTAGAACAGGACACAATAGACTTCGCAGCCACATATGCACAAAAATTAAAATCTGCAAATCAGCCATGTGCACTTGTGGACTGGCACCTGAGACAACAGATCATGTCCTCCAAGACTGTCCCATATACAAGATATCAAGGCAAAACTTTTGGCCATAAGAAATATCGGTGCAAGTCAAACTTTACAGGTCGCTGAGTGAATTACAAAAGACAGTGAAATTCATACTAGAGACAACATTACAGATATAGATAATCTATTTCAAGCAAATGAAAGATGAAGAAGAAGAAGAAGCTTTCACTATGAAATTCCAGGCACTTCTCTTCCCTCTCAATACAGAACCATCTGTGTAGATAATCAGATCTTAAGGACGAGAATTTTCGTGAATCAACTGTTGGACTTCCACCTCTGTAGCTCCAGCTGGCCACTCTCTGCACTCCCAGCCTAATGTGATCATGACCCTACATAGGTGAGACTTTTCCTCTGGTACCCTGGCCCACTCCTTTCCTCGCCCAATGTTCTTCAGCGTGCACACTTGTCTTATTGTGTCTTCTGCTTGAGCCATCCATGATTTTCCTCTTTTCAGCCTCTGATGCTTAACTGTATCCAAAGCTTCGAACAGAGGGTGAACTTTATCTGCAGCTACTCTGAGATATTACTTAGCCTGCAGCACCTTTAGCCTATCTTTCAAATACCTATTAACTATTTGATTTTGATGTTTATGAAGGATTCCAGAATAGACAGGAGACGGTTGTGGCAGCACTTGGTCTTGAGGATGCCTAGAACAGAGTCAGACATGATATTTTCATATGTGCACTTATGGAGAAGGGTTCTGTAATTTCACCAATGCTCTTTAATATGTATAGAAGCAAGACTGCAGAACATGAAGCACCAGGTTTTGGAAGGAAATTGACATTCGCTGATGATGTTCTTACATTTAGGCAGGGGAGTAATAATAGATAATGGATAGCCCAAGAGCTACAGGCAACTGAAGACAAAGTGACTGACTGGTGTGCAGAGATGGGTGCTGTCATAAACTCAAAAAGGCGGCTGTTTTGTGTTGCTCTCTTGACAACAGAATTGTAAAAGCATATGTTTCAAGCCTTAAAATTAATAACAGTAACATCAAAAGAGAAAGCAAACTGAAGTACCTGGGTATCACTTTTGATAGAAGCCTGTCCTATAGGGATCACGTGGAGGCAGTTGGGGCGAAATGCCAAAAATGACTCAATGCTGTCAAGATTATGGCAGCAATAGACATGGAACAATGTGGTAGTGATAGATTATGGACTTGGTATGCTTACCATATCAAAGAGTCAACTGATAAAACTCAAACGCATACAGAATGAAGCCATTTGGGTAATTCTGGGATGTACAAGAGATACCCGGTAGTATGTAAATGATATATACTTGCACTGCCTACCATTGCAGATAGGCAGAAAGTTCTGCAGGCAAGGTCATATCTCAGAGCAGTGGCAGACAAGAAGCACCTCCTGCATGAAGCCCTGGGTAGAGCTAAGGATCACAGACTGAAAAGAGGAAGGTCTTGGATGGTGCAAGCCGAAGACACAACTGGACATGTGTGCAGGCTTTATAAATTTGAGCGAGGAGAGGAGTGGGTCAAGGTGTCCGAACAAGTTTCAGACTTGTGTAGGGTTATAATCACTTAAGGAGGTGAATGCAGAGACTGGCCAGCAGGTGCTGCAGAATCAGAAGTTCAACAAATGATTCATGACAATTCCCGCCCAAGTGATGTGATTATCTACACAGATGACTCTGTGTTTAGGGGCAGACGAAGTGCATGGGGGTTCATAGCAAAGGCGAAACCTTGTATATTATAAAACAACGTCTAGTTTGAGAATGGACGTCGAGGTAGTCTCTGCTGCCATCCGCTGGTTTGAGAATCAACTGTACACACATGCCGTGATTGTAACTGACTCACAGAGCATGTTAAGAAAGATGGAGACGGGCATGCTTCGTGCAGAGTGGTATCACTTCAGAGGTCCTGGGTAGTTAGCATACTTTGGATATTTTCTCCAGGTAATGACGGTGTGTTGGGAAATGAGCAGGCAGATAGACTGGCTGGCTCTGCACCACTTGGTGGTGAACTGACCTAGGACAAGCTATTTATTGTGAGGGCCCTTTGGGAACGAGTGAACAGTGCAGAGGCACAGATGGTTTATTACGGTCTGAGGAGAATGGTGCTGGGAGGAGTTACCAGGGGATTTAACAGATGATCAACACTCAGGGGCAGGATGAGATGAATAAACAATTAGATGGTTGCTGGTGGCATGGGAATTGGAACTCTTCGCTTACTGCTGAAGATGGGGATGGAGCAATTATGGGAGTGTACTGAGTGCTGTGATGTCGATTCTTAATTCAAAATTCAATGCAACTATTTAATATTGAGGGTTTGTGCAAACCAGGGTGTCAGTGAGGTTTAGCCATATTTAATAATATGCCTGGTACCATCCTAACTGGAATTATGTGTATACGAACAGTGCATTCATGGGAATGTCTTGAGTTCTGTGACATTGGTTCTTAATTCAGCTCAGCAATATGACAGTATGACAGTGTTAGTGTGAGCGGAGCTGGTTTAATTAGTGTTGTGACATTGTCAGTGACAGTAAAGTAGTAAAAACCCATGTTACACCAGTGTTATACCAGGCAAATGATGCTGGACTCATACTTCTATAGACTGGTCGGCACTTGACAGCGATGATAAAGCCATGAAACTAGAAAGTTAGCTGTTTATTCTTTACAGGACATCGAGGAACCAACCCCAGCATTTTTTTGCATGTTTAATTGTACCAGGCAATTGCACAATCAATAGGTTGCCATTGCTCTTGGTGCGTTAGGCCCTCATTACCACTGTCAAAATCAATGCAAAGCAGTCTGCTGTCAAATCACCAGCAGTTAGATTCAAACTGGGTATCTCAGAATTACAACAGTGTTTGCAATGCCCAAACCACAGATGCTGGCATAAAACCAATAATTAACTACTCTTATACAAACCTTCTCTCTTGTCCTTCTGTTTCACTACAGCTTTCTCTGAATACCAAACAGTATGCATTTATTTGTTTATTGTATAAACTACTGACACATCCAACATGAAGACTCACCTTCCACATGTAGTACGGACAGCAGACGATCGTGTGACAAATGTTGCCACAAATGGTGTTGACCATCTCCGAGGTGGAGAATGACCCATGCCCGGCATCGTGACCGACCACAAACACAGCCATCAACATGGTCCCCTGCAGCAGCCAGTATGCCGGTGTCACCAACAGCTGGAAAGTGTACATGTACACTACTGAATTCAAATATTATATGTGTGAGTGTGTAAGTATAATCGTTGTGTGCTATTTAACGTTACAGTGGGCTAAGGGTCTATTCCTCCATCCCTATTTATATATATTAGGGCTGTACCAAATATTCGCTTCGTATTCGCTTCGGGGCCGAATAGTGGACTATTGACTATTCGGTATTGGGACGAATAGTTGCGGTCTGGCCGAATACGAATAGTAGTTACCTTACACCCACTTCTGCATACACGGCCTTAATAAAAACACAGAACGATTAGTTTTGTTGAAAGCTAATGCAGCGTTCATGCATTAACTAAGCTGTCAGTGACAATTTCCAAGTTTAGTTACTTGTTGTAATACTTAGGATTCTTTCATTCCTAGTTATTAGTTACCACAGACTGACTGAAGGATGCAAAACATAAAATCTTTTTCATGTTTACTATTCTGTACTAATACTAATTAGACATGGAAAGAATATACACTCTAACCACATCCAAGTCGATAATACTTGGGCGCAAACTTCAACAGCTCCAACATGCTGAGAGGAGAAATACAATCTAGAATACAATCTAGAAATAAATTATACTATGCCCTTCAACATCTGCTAAAGTCAAAGTGTCTGTCTCGCAACACCAAGATCAAAATTTATAAAACATTGATAAGACCAGTTGTTTTATATGACTCTGAAACTTGAAGCAGATATAAAAAAGATGAGACCTTATTACAGGTTTTCAAAAACTTAGGACAAATCTTTGGACCCAGCAAAGATGCTAACAGCAGAGAATGGAGAGTTAGAAGCAACAACGTGACACATAATCTGTTTAAATCACCAATCATCATGAGAGCTAACAGACTAAAATGGTTGGGGCACATTGAAATAATGTCAGAAGACAGAGAAGTAAAACTGTATACACCTGAGAGAGGAATGGGCGTAGACCATGAGGCAGACACAAAAGAAGATCGAGAGAGAATGTCCAGACAGACCTACAAACAACTGGTGTCACAAATTTTGAAGAGAAGGCCAGTCAGAGAGATGAATGGAGACGAGTGATATCTGCAGCAGTAAACCTCAAGGGCTCAGAATGCTAAAGAAGATGACTATTCTGTGCTACTTTATGTAAAGTAAAAGCTCAGCGTACATTTGACATTATAAATGTGTATGTGCATGTGTGTTTTTTCTTTAGATATATTTCATACACTATTCATATTCGTATTCGGCAAAATAGTTGGTCCCATTATTCGTATTTGGCCGAATAGTGAAAATCACTATTCGGTACAGCCCTAATATATATATATATAATATACATAAAACATACAAACACATATATGTTTCATTTATCTTCTATACTGAAAGCATTTTATTGCTGAATGGCTACTGGAGATCCAGAGATCAAAACTTGAGTCACATGACTTGGACTAAAGTGCAAATTAAGTCACATAATTAATGAGCTGTGACTCAACTTGAGGTTTTGCCCAGCGACTCATGACTCCACTTATGACTTGTAGCTTTGATGACTTGGTGTGATTTGTTCTTTGTGGCTAACCACTGCAGGATTTAGTGATCAAATCTGATTAATTAAAATACAATAAATAATGTGACAACTTTTCAGTTTTCTGCAAATTTATTAAAATAAAAATTCCTTCAATATATAAATGTATGCATTCACTTCAGCTTTTTACATTCAAAATCTAACAATAGTTGGCTTTATTTTTGGTATTACAACAGCCAAACTAGTTTGACTAATAAGCAATATCCCATGCATGACTTGCAAATGACTTGGTACATGTGGTGACTTGACTCGGGACTCAGCTTGAAAGTATTCTTGGTGACTTAAGACTTGATTGAGACTTTGGTCTTGACTTGGACTTGAAGAGAGAGGACTAAGTACAACTTGTGCGGAGATTCTGCCATTTACACACCTTGAAGCAAACTCCAGAGCACTTTCTACATTGCCCAGAATCTTTCAGGCAGAAAAAAACCTAGAACCACATGGGGGCAGTAGCCCAGGTTCAGTCCTCAGAAGTATTCTTGGCTGGGAAAACGGGGTGGGGAGAGAAACCAGATCTAGCACAATTTAATGCACCCTGGATCTGTGACAAACACATTCCCAATCCCAATATACAGAAATGGGAAACCAGACAGAATGTAAGAGGAACAAAGGAGATTAATTCATTAATCAATAAGGATTTGCTGCCATCGATACATATTTTAATTAAAGCAATGCTTCCTGGTTGTAAAGAAGACACAGACAGTAGACTGCACAATTTATTGCCTGGCAAATTTCGTTGTATCTAGTCAGGTGCATACTACAATAAATATTGATTAACATGAAGCTAGTAAATGAATCCTTCAAACTGAAACACAAAATCGACTACATTCACAAACTGTCTGTTTCACCAGGGTAACAGCAAGGCGAATGGCATGTCTTTCTGTCTGCATAAATCTGAATTCATCCAGTTGATAGCCAAAGGTTCCGCAAACTTCAATAATCTACGGTTAGTGAAAGTGTAAATAAATCAAAATGCATAATCCTTGTTTACAATGTGCCCAGAATTTAGAATGTGGCACGCAAATGCAATTGTTTATTGTTTCGACCAGTCACCTGATCTGCTGTTGTTGGTGTTTTTATCACCAACAGTGGAATAAGTTCAGCAACCTGTTTCTCCAGTCATTGATCAATTCTGCCCACATATGCAGCATTACAGGTGCAATTAAATTGGTAAATACAATTAGATTTCGTGTACGTCGACACTGATTCTTTCACTGGTGGTTTTAAATCTGATAACAGACATGTCTGCGTAGAAGGTTTTGCCGACTGCTGTTCTGACTGGTCATATAAACGTTGAATAACATCATCTCCCCGAAAAGTTATTTGGATATACACTTGTTTCTTTGGCACCAACATATCTATGGTAACTAGTTTGGGCAGCTTGCAATGGCACTTTAAAAAACCACCTGGATATCCATTAGAAAGAAGTGTTTGTTTGAACATATCCAATTCTGTTTGTTTGCGTGTTGCTGGAACAAATCTTTCTAGTGCAGTTGAATAATGTCCGCACTAGGCCACACTTGCATCGCATGGGTGCAAAACTGTGAAAATGGATATATTGGCCTGTCAAAGTGTCTTTACAAAAACTAATCTTCCAGTAGTGCCATTCTCTTATCAACAGAAGAAGAGAATGATCAAATCAATCAGAATGCCACCGAAACTGGCACAAGATGATTACCATATTATGGACAGACCAGAGCAAGTCATTATCCTTCGCCTTAGAACAGGGCACAATCGACTTCGCTCCCACATGTACAACAAATTTAAGATTGGCCAATCAGCCATGTGTACTTGTGGACTGGCACCCGAAACAACAGAACACATCCTTCAAGACTGTCCCAGATTCAACGCTTTCAGGCAAAACCTTTGGCCAAAAGAGACACTTGTGGAAGTCAAACTTTACGGGCCGCTTAGTGAATTACAAAAGACAGTGAAATTCATACTAGAGACGGCTTTGCAGATATAGACAATTTATTTCATGCGAACGAAAGAAGAAGAAGAAGTAGTGCCATTATCTCTACGTCTAATTAAAATGACTAAAAAGGCCAAGTCGTTGCTACTTTCATGTTGTTGGGACACTGCGATGTTTTTGTGTATTTGGTTCATTTTGGTGTGAAATGATTCTGAAAGTTGTTTGTTAGTAGGGACAATAAGAATGTCATCCACATAGCTTTGGTAAAATACCAAACTGTGGATATCAAAGTGCGTGCCAATGGCCACGCCTTCAATATGGCAGTAAGACTGCTTCAGAAAATTGAAACTGATATTAGATGTGCACAGCAGTCAAAGTTGCTCACATTTTGAAGTGGGTAAAGCCACCTGCAGGTTTTTGGTCTTCTGTAGGTCACATAGAATTGTTAGTTTCGTTCAAGGGGAGCGGCTTTGTAAGACTGATGGAAAGAGAATAAAGGAAAGATCAGTGATACTGCACTGGATGGCTTGACTGTATGAGACGAGACAGGTGCACTGATCGGATCCATGATTTTGCTGATCGTATGAGATGCAAAACATGACCACCTATACTTATCGGCAAAGCACATGATGATGATGTTTTTCGTACATTTCAGAAAGAAGTGGCTAAATAATGAATGTAGGGCTGTTTACTATTAACAAACAACATTGAGGATATGTGGTAGTGAAATATTTCAACCATATAAAAAGATAAAACACTTGTATGTGCAGAATACAGGATCATGAGCATGGCTGCTGTCGCCCCTCTGAGCACTGATCTACTTAATGACAACATGCACTTTGTGAAGCCTCCCTGATATAACAGAAAATTGTGTGCAGTAAAACAGTACCTTCAAGTCCCACATGGCTCATTTGAAAATGAGACAGACCACTTGTGGAAATGTCCCTAGTGCAGTGATATCTCTTCTTGATTGTTCAATTCATTTCTTTATTTATTATACACAGAACATCAAGTTAAATTTAGGAACACTTAGAATGGATAAAGAAATTAAGGAACAGTACAATGTCACTGGACAAAACCGGTAAAATGCAATGGAAATTATACAGACCATTGATGAACAGTGGGATATGTTGCGTGAGTCAATTCATCAGACATCAAAAGAGACTTCCCATAACCCATAGAGTTGCAAAAAAGAAATAGATGTCAACCGAAATTCTGCAGTTGATGGATGAAAGAAGGAAGAAAAAGAATGATAAAGAAGAATACTCTAGAATATAAAAAAGAAATAAGAAGAATACTCTAGAATATAAAAAAGAAATAATGAACAAATGCAAAGTGGCTAAAGAAGCCTGGCTGAATCATATGTGTACAGAGGTAGGGGAAAATTACAGGAAAGGCTCACATTCCATGTACCAACAGTAAAATATGTTAACAGGAAAGATGACACGTAACAGCACTGGATTTTTAAAATCAAAAGATGGTGACTTATTAATGGGACATAGTAATATAATTAACAGATGGACAGAGTATACAGGGGAATTGTATGATGATAATAGACAATGATGGTCCACAATAATGACTGCAGAAGTTGAAGATGCATTGCATCATATAAAGAAAGGAAAAGCACCCGTGCCAGACAACATTTCACTGGAAGAAATCGAAGCACTGGGAGATTTTGGAATTGAAATAATAACTAAACTTTTATATAATATTTATAATAGTGGGTACATTCAAAATAACCTTTTAATTTCCATTTTTATAGCTCTGCCAAAAAAACAAAGCACTTTAAAATGTGATGACCATAGCACAATAAGTCTTATGAGTCACATGACTAGGATATTTTTTTAGAAGAATTATGAGAAGAATAAGAAACAAAATTAAACCAGAAATTAGTGATGAACAATGTGGATTTGTAGAAGGGAAAAGGACAAACAATATCATATACATCCTAAGGATATTGTCAGAAAGAGCGATAGAAGTTAAGACTGATTTGTACTTATTCTTCATAGACTATACAAAAGCATTTGACTGTGTCAAACATGAAGAAGTAATCAAACTGTTAGAAAAATTAAACATTGATGGAAAAGATCTACGAATAATAAAGAATATGTATTGGCAGCAAACAGCAGCTATAAGAATTAACAACTGTTTAGGTACATCTCAGAGAATAAAGAGGGACGTACAAGGATGTGTACTGTCAACTATTTATTTTTACTATATACAAGTTAGTTGCGTATCCTTTACAGGATGTTGCAGAGCCAACCCCAACACCCACTGGCTGTTTATGGTTTTTCTAGGGCAAATTTACGTCCAGTAGTTTGCCACTGCTTTCTGGATGGTCGGCTTTCTTGATATCACTGTCGAAACCAATGTAAGTCGCATGGCCCGCAGATGGGATCAAACCTGGCATCCCGGCATTACAAAGCGTTCGCATCGACTTAGCCACAGAACCGACCATTTTCACTATACAGTGAATATATAATGAGATCTTTAATTTATATGCCCGGAATTGTGGTTGGTGGGCACAATATAAACAATTTACGTTATTCTGATGACACAGTCTTGATAGCAACAAGTCAGAAACAACTACAGGAAATGATAGACATTGTGGTGTTAGAAAGTGGAAGAATGGGCCTCTGTTTGAATAATAGGAAGACAGAAGTAATGGTAGTATCAGAGAAAAGAATTATTCCTAAATGTGTAAAAAAAGTCAGTAGTGTTATTTTAGAAGTACAGAAATTTAAGTATCTGGCCACATAGATAATATCAGATGGAAGATGCATTACTGAGATAAGAAACAGAATACGACAGACAAAAACTGCATTTGATCAAATGAAGAAAATCTTATGCAATATACCTTTGTCATTGAGGGTGAGAAAAGGAATTCTTGCTTGCTACATAAATCCAGTTTTAACATATGGCTGTGAATCCTGGACAATCAGTAGGCAGGCCAAACAATTTCTTGAGACCTCAGAGATGTGGTTTTACAGAAGAATGCTTGAAATGCCTTGGACAGCCAGAGAGACAGTCATCATTTTTCGGCCATGTTGTGAAAAGGGAGAAAATGGAACATATTGTGACCACTGCAGGAATCTGTGGAAGGAGGGATAGAAGAAGACAGCGAGAGAGGATTCTTGACAGTCTTGTTGCATGGCACAGAGGTGTGTCAGCTTACAAACTGATACATTCTGCAGGAGATCGCAGATTGTGGAGAGGCATGATCCCCCATGCCAGTCAGCAAGGCACCTGATGATGATGATTTATTTGTTTTTAATCCCTAATTTTGACTTTGTTGTAGCCTAGTTTCTGTAACTTTGATTATAGTGTCGCACAGTACTTTGCTGTACTTACCCAAGCATGCAAAGAGATGTCATGTGTCTTTCAGTTAGATATGCTTTATACATAAGCCTGTGCAGGGCTCTCTCCCTTAGACTTTAGAGGTTAGTGAAATCATTTCACAATGCAGTCCTCAATGTCAACTGGGGTTCCCATAATGAGCAGTTTAGAAAAAGACCATACCTGTGGCTTTCAAAGAGTGGTACGAAACTCCCACAATGCAAAGAGACTGAGGCCCCACCTTGTAATATTTCCATAATCAGCAGCGGCTAGATCGCAGCCTACCTCCATTGTGAAGCCAGTTGTTATTTATTCAATTATACGTAGGCAGTTACCTGTCTCTGTCGACTTACCTGCACAGCGTAAGGTAGGTGTTGCCATGTCATCTCTATGAGAATGTAGAGGAAGACGATGATGAGGAAATCTCTGATCATGTAGTAGACAGACAGTGGGGTGCTTGACTTGAAACAACTTGGTGGTATACACTGTGGGAAGGTGAGTAAGCAACAGCTAGTTAATATACACACAGTCATGGGAGATAGGTTCAAGTTATCAAATAGTAATGAGAGGTAGGTTCAGGGTATAGTATAGTAGTGTGAGATATGATCAGGCTATAGTGTAGTCATTCAAGGTATATAACACAGTAATGAGAGATAGGTCCAGGTTAGTGTATACTAATGGTAGATATGTTCAGTGTACAGCACAGTAAGAAGAGATGGATTTATGGTAGTGAATAGTAATGAGAGATAGGTTAGAGATAGGTTCTGGTAGAGTATAGAAATGAGATATAAGTTCATGATATAATAAACTAATGGCACATAAATTCAGTGTACAGTATACTATTAAGAAATAGGTTCAGGGTATAGTATAGAAAGGAGAGATAAGTTCAGGATATAGTATATCCATGAAAGATAGGTTCCATGTATATAACAACCATTTAAGAAAGGTTTAGGGTGTACTATAGTGATGAGACAAATTGAAGATAAAGTACAGTCAAGACACATACGTTTAATAAAGAGTTTAATGAGCAGGTGGATAGACTGGATGGCTCTGCACTGCTTGATGGTGAAGTGATGTATGACAAGTTAGATGTTGTGAATGCCCTTTGGAAGCGAGTGAACCGTTCGGAGACACTAGAGTCATGACAAATCAGTACAAGGTAGAATATATGGCTTGAAGACAAGGCCAGATTTTCCTGGTGTAGAATATAACACAGAGACAGAGAAAAGTAGAAAAAGGAGGAGGGGGTAGAAGAAGGCGGAAAAGAAGATTAAGAGGAGGAAGAAGGTAAAGAAGGAGATGGTGGTAAAAAAAAAGGAGGATGAGGAAGAAAAAAGAAGAAGAAGAAACAAAAAAGAAAAAGTAATATGACGATGTTTAATGTGAAAATATGTTTTTGTAATATTTACCACTTAGAGAATAAATCCTAAAGGCACAATATGCTCATAAATATAACATAATATAACAAAATAAAACAGACAGAATCAGTAAAGTGCATTGTTATAGATGAATTATTAGCTGCTGATTAGAAACCAGTGTCAGGATAACATACATTTATTTCTTGTTAGATGTAATATAATTTGGTTTACTGCACATCTGTGCAGATTTACAGACCAGGTGCGTGCCCACGTCAGCTTCTCCAGCTCTCTTGCCAGGTTACACTGACATGTGTTTTGGAATGTAGATTTGAAAGTTATCCTGATGACATTTCTCAACGTTGGTAAATGGATTCGAACAGAGAAGTTTAATGCTATATTTGTAGTTTGCCGATTCCCAAAATTAAATTGTCGGGTATTTTCCACACACAAAACATATACTGTGGTAGGGTGGTAAGTACGATATTAAGATGTCAACGAGTGGGACATGAATGATATAGGTACTGGCGTGGATTTGTCGAAACAGGATGCGTTGGAGACTGTTGTATGAAGGGGGACATTATGAAAGAATGTGGATATAGGATACAATTACTGCACGCAGACTAAGAGAAAGAAACCTCTGAAAAGAATGACGTTAAATACATATGGTGACGACACTGATCCCTAAATCACACGCTCTGATTGTGGAAGGCAAAGGGGCCGTGCTAGACTCACTCGCCATGGTCATGGGATTTGATTCCCGTGCCTCCATATTGCAAAATATAACGCTCACGTCTGGACAGATCGAAAGTGCCAACGACAGTTCTAGGCTCGATACAGTCGAAGGCAAACATGTACCACAGTTGACAGATTCGTCTGGGAAGAAGGGCAACAAACAAGGAAACTGACTCTCCATCGTATTATGCCATGATGCTGTGAAGGTACATGGCTTCACGCACTGAACACGGTGTCTTGCTAGTATGTTTACACTAGTATTGTCACGCTTTTAGTATTCAAGCTGTTTCCGTGTGGAAGTGGCTTACTCGAATGTCAGGTCTGCTTTCGGTTTCCAAGTTCCGTTTGTCAAGTGTCGATTTTTCAGATGTCCCTTTTGATCGTCGCTCAAGTTAGATATATCGTGCCATGTGTGAGGCTCAAAGCAATGATAAAGTAGATCTTGTGCTTGCAAATACTAACCCTTTGTGAATTTTACTGTTAAAACCTTATTGTAAAGAATTCAAAAGGACCGAAACATCAAGAGTTCGTGATAGTAAATTGGTGCTAACCAGGGACTATTAATAATACATTGTTGCTGGGACCACTATTGTGTTCATGTTAACCGAACGTTTTTATCGATTTAATTCGTGTAAGCTATGTTTTACAATACTCAGAAGTCAAGAGATAGTATCTGCCCTTTAACGCCACTGGCGAAAGTCAAGGCAGCCTGGCGGCTAGGCACTCGCCTGTCGGCCCGATGGTCTTAGGTTCCAATCCTCATCGAGTCGGATTTTATTTTAAAATTGACTTTGGCTCCCAGCTAGCCGAAAATATGTAACAGGAAATAAACTAAGAAGTAAAGACGACCGGCGTGATGCACCGACAGAGTGGTGATTGGTGAATAAAAATATGAGTCTAACATCATATGCCCAGTGCACAGTGCCAGTGGCACATCCGGGCAACACGCAGATAGGCACTGCCAAACTGTAGCATCCAATATTTTCCACTCGACATTTTAGCCTAAGTTGCCACTGTATGGCAGACTCATATTTTTGGATACCAGCAGCGGCACGGCTTTCTATGTGGGTTGCCACCTGTGTCTAGTGAAAGACAACATATAATCTGGCTTTCTGTGTGAGTTGCCAATTCTATCCAGTGGAAGAAGTCATATGATCGGGGTTTCTGTACTGGTACATTTTTGCTCATCAGAAGACATGTTGTCTAGCCTTTGATGTGGGTGCTCGTTCTGCTCAAGGAAAGACAATGTGTCATCATGACGTCTGTGTGGGTGACAATTCTGCCCAGCGGAAGGCTCTGGGTAGTCCGACTGTCTGTATGGGTGCTTTGGGTTATCTTCACGGCACTCCGGACATGTCCGTAGGTGCTCAGATTCTCCGTTCAACATGTACATCAGCGTCCCGCGGTTGATAGTCCCAGTATTATGTTGGCTGACAAGACTTCTCATGCCTGGCTGTACAGATCTTTACTCCCAATTCTTGCACTCTTAGCAAAGATGTAAATGTGCAGCTCCCAAAATACTCCAATCGTCCTACCTCTCTAATGGCATTAATGTCTGCATGATTCATGGGCCGGCCCTCTGTATCTAAGGCAGAGCCGGCTAAACTGTCAACTCTTTCATTGCCAACAACACCCGCATAGCCTGGGACAAAGATGAAGCTAACTCTACGCACAGTGACGTTTTGCAATGACTTGATTCACAGTCTGTGTACAAAGCCCGCCTCGACCCACCGGATCATGCTCATGGAATCACTCAGCACACACACACACACACACACACACACACACACACACACACACACACACACACACACGTGAGAATAGCCTTGCCATGTTAGTCATATGAAAGCTGTGTTACCGCCATCTAGTGGTCATACAGAAGGCACCGCTGGCCTCTTGGGCTGTTCTGCCTGCAGTGCACGCAGTATGGGTGCCAATTCTGCCCAGCGGAAGGCTCCCATCTGTGTAGTCTTACTGCCTGTATGGATGCCAATTCTGCCCAGTTGAAGGCTTTGTGTAGCCGATTCTGCCAGTTTAATTCAGAATTATGCCCACATAAGGAAATAATCTTCACTGTGCGGTTACCTTGGTGAAACAGACAGTGTGTTAATGTAGTCGATTTTGTGTTTCAATTATTTGCTTCATTTTAATCAATTGTTACTGTAGTATGCACCTGACGAGAGACAGCGAAATATGCCAGGCAATAAATTGCGCAATCTATTGTTTGTGTCTACGTGGTTCAAATGCATTTGTTTTGAAGGAAACTGTTGTGTGCAATATATGGGTATATGAAAGGGAAGCTCATTATTGAACGTAACCACTTGGTGCGGTGCAGGACACGTTGAACGCAATGTGAAGAGAGAGAAAAACGGTTGGCTCCAAGTCCCCGGAGAGGAAGGATGCGGTGATGTAGGTTCTAGTCTGGGTGTTGCCAGACTAGTCCTGCACACCCGTATGTTACGCTGGCGTTAGGCATACAGGCTATCGGCGAGAGATGCCGCAGAGGCCGGGCCAGCGTGACAGAAGCTCGTGTGGTGAGATGGGAGATCTCAAGTACGTGTCAGGGCAGTCAGGCCGCAGACGGAAGGTCTGGATAATCTTCACAAGGTATTGTGCATTGGCCTGTATGATCTTTCTAGTGACAGTGTACCCAAGGGATGGGTGTCATAGAGACAGACACGTACTCGCGAGCAGTGGGTTTGCACGAGCAGGTAATGTTTGCTCGTTTTTAACCACGGAACAGGGTGGCAGTAGAAGTAGCCCAGAGCGTCCGGAGTGTGTGTTGCCTTGCCAATAGGAATGACTGTGGCAGTATAGAAATTCCTGTGGATTCATTGTCTTGGTTTTGAAATACATTAATTATATTTTGACGTTCAACGTGTATCCAGCGTCCTATATTGCGGTTGGGCGGGAGTGGTGACTTTGATCTGTAACACTATTAAGCATACCTGGATACTTGGCAAATGTGCAGTGCATCAAGCGAGCATTTCGCACGCGTCAGAAACACAAGGACTGTCCCATCTGCTATAGCAGTGGTCTCCAACTTGGGGAAGGGGTGAGGAAGTTCCAAGGAGAGCGTCAAGTAATTTTGAAATGCCTGCATGTGCGCTTGTGATAATCCGTTTTCTAAGCTTTTCCCCAGTTTAATAAAAAATAATGTGTTTTAAACTATTTATAAAACAAAAAGCCACGAAGTTGTTGTTTTCATGAGCATTTTTTACATTTACATTAAAAATCTAATTAATATGATAACATGTGCATTTAATTATAGACTAACAATATATTCCTCCTCCTTTTTTTTTTGATCACATTTTGTCAGGGAGTGATGGGGGGAGGGGGTAGGGAGACTGTCCTCCCATACACTCAATGGGGTTCTACCGGAAACATATTGCAGACCACCAACCTTGAGTATCTATGAGTTGCGTTGTAAGAAAAGGTTATCGAATAGGGCTACGGCACCAGTTGTGAGAAGATGCATCATGCAGATGATACACAAGCAATAAGATAAACTACACATATCTAAGTTACCTTCTTGATGTCAACAATCGATGGTAACTTTCTCCGCAGCGACATTTTCTCTACGGCCTGGTCGGCACGTGGGCTGGAAATCGTGTCGACAGCATTGGCCTGCTCATCCTCGGTTTGATAGGACTCCTCCCCGCCACTGCTGATCAGCATAGGCCACAATATAGGCCACTTTCTGAAGCAGCTGTTGCTGGGTTTTGTACTGGTATAAGCTGGCTCCATGCTGTCTGTATCTGAAAGACACAGTGAACATTATCAGCAGGACTCTCTGATCAAAACGTGAGGGTATTCAGGTCAGTTTTTTGTTACCTGGACTGATGACCCGCTGACTATTGCCTGTCTTCGGGATCATCACCGGTGCTACAGAGCATGTGCACTGTGCTAAGGTTTTTCGGACTCAGACTTGAGTTAGAAGACGAAGGCAGCACATATGGGTTACTACCTGTGTGCAGTGATGTTGATCTATTGTTCAAACTTCAAACTCCATTTAATCTCCTAGCGATACTAATGGTACAGTGGTCTTCCGAAACACTATGAAAACTTGCTTATGGGCATAGAAATAAAGGCAGGCCAAAAACATATAAAGAAGGTAGAAAGAGATAGGTTAACCAGATTTAGGGGACACTGGGTGAGCTGCATGCTCACAGGACTACTTGGCGTGAGTTGGTTGATAGCCTATGCTCCATTACGAGATAAAGTGCACATGAAAAGATAGCCTTAAGACTACTAATACAGTTATCTAATCATACGTTTCACTGCCTCCTGCGTGCACGCCTACAGTAATATGCTGTCGTTGACCATTTGCAAAAGTGTTTGTTTTTCAAAGTACATGACCCTTTCTATTCCTGAAGACGTTTCATGTCAATGATGTTGAAGTCATATTCTTTATAGATCAATAGACACTACACTGTTGATTTGGACAACATCTCGCTGCTGTTTTTACCTCCCGTGATATTTCCTTCTTTTGACTTTGGGTAGGTTCGAGGTGAGAATTCAGGTTACTGCCGAATCTAATCTATGCCTAAAAAGCTATAGACAAGTTGTGAGTTACTGGTTATCTTCACGGCACTCCGGACACGTCTAGGTGCTCAGATTCCCTCTTTAACATAATCAACGTCCCTCGGCGGTTGATAGTCTTAGCAGAAGCAGTCTCTGCTAGATGTTGACAATGGCCGGGACCCTCATTGCTGATAAGCCCTTGTGGGCCTTCGTTATAACATGGTCGATGTGGTCTTTGAAGGACAGACTGCGATCAAACTTCACATCTAGATATTTCATTCGGTGAGTGCTCGTTAAAGCATCGCCGCTAATTTGCACAACTGGTAGGTCTGCCTTAAACAGATGCGTGTTCAAGTAGATCCATGTGACTGAGGCTTTCGAAAGGTTGACATGTGCACTAGAGTCCACACACCAGGAGGAGATGCGATCAAGTTCACTCTACATTGCACTGGCAATCTCAGGACGTTTTCTTCCATGTCGATAGACCAAAATGTCATCAAGAAATGACAGTCCTGCCACACCCATTCAATTGCTGATCGATTATTCTCAACATATACACATTAAAGAGGACTCGTGTGCAACCCATAGCGTAGCCAAGATTTCTCGAAAACGATGACATTACTAATCCATATCATTACTAATTTATGTTTTCGGCTACATTTCAATTTATGGTTGGTAATAGTAACTCCTTTCCTACGTTCACCCTAAAAATCTGGTTGGCACTCTGTGATGTGGTTTAAAAAGTCTTTCGACCCCAAACATCCGATTTAAGCTAGTTCCTAATTAGTCGCCTTTTATGACATACTTATTAAAGAGCAGAGGGTCTATCCCCCTCCCCTCCCCACACCCCCCCCCCCCCACATCCCCCTCCCCTCCCCCACATCCCCCTCCCCACAATAAGTCCGTGAAACCAACACTTGGACACAGAGTTACATAGACAGTATAGGTAACGCGTAAAGCAGTCGCATTTTGGAGGATGAAGATATAACCACTTATCTATATATATCCTTGTGCCAAAGGGAAAACTAAAATATTCCGGCAAAAGGGACTTTGGAGGGGACTGGAAGTAAAGGAAACCAGACAGGGATATAGTCTGACCTCAAGGCATGGAGCCGTTTTGAAATGATTGACGGGAAAACGAGACAGAAGCGGTATGAAAGAAGCATATATGAAAGCTGTGATGGCCATAATTCGTGTATGTTGGACAGATAGATAGATAGAGAGAGAGAGAGAGAGAGAGAGAGAGAGAGAGAGAGAGAGAGAGAGACAGACAGACAGACAGACAGACAGACAGACAGACAGACAGACAGACAGACAGACAGACAGACAGACAGACAGACAGACAGACAGACAGACAGACAGACAGACAGACAGACTGCGGCAGTAGGTGTGCTGTCTATGACATAGGAAACGTTGGCGAGTAGGTGGATGTGGATTTGTCTGCAGATTTCCGGTTATGAGAGATTTGTCTGTCCCTGGTTATAGCCAGTTAAAGAAGTCGCAGGCAGATATAAGAAATCACGACCTGCACTATGTGTGGTGACCCTCTCAAGCAAGACTTGCCCTGCCCTACACCCCCCGCCCTGAAAGGGGCAAATACGGGAAGTCAAGACGGCATGTCTATGACATTACCGGTAGACACGACGTTTGACAGTCTCGGTACGCGTGCTTTTGACAGCAGTTATTGGTGTTACAGAACTAGACTTAAAAGCAAAACTACTCTTGTGTGTGTGAGTGCGTGCGCGCGTGTGTGTGAATGTGTGGGTGGGTGGGTAGGTAGGTAGGTATGTATGTATGTGGGTTGGTTTTGTAAGGTAGGTCGGTCAGTAGGTAGGTAGGTAGGTGGGTGGGTGGGTAGGTAGGTAGGTAGGTAGGTAGGTAGGTAGGTAGGTAGGTAGGTAGGTAGGTAGGTATGTATGTATGTATGTATGTATGTATGTATGTATGTATGTATGTATGTATGTATGTATGTATGTATGTATGTATGTATGTATGTATGTATGTATGTATGTATGTATGTATGTATGTATGTATGTATGTATGTATGTATGTATGTATGTATGTATGTATGTATGTATGTATGTATGTATGTATGTATGTATGTATGTATGTATGTATGTATGTATGTATGTATGTATGTATGTATGTATGTATGTATGTATGTATGTATGTATGTATGTATGTATGTATGTATGTATGTATGTATGTATGTATGTATGTATGTATGTATGTATGTATGTATGTATGTATGTATGTATGTATGTATGTATGTATGTATGTATGTATGTATGTATGTATGTATGTATGTATGTATGTATGTATGTATGTATGTATGTATGTATGTATGTATGTATGTATGTATGTATGTATGTATGTATGTATGTATGTATGTATGTATGTATGTATGTGTGTGTGTGTGTGTGTGTGTATGTATGTATGTATGTATGTATGTATGTATGTATGTATGTATGTATGTATGTATGTATGTATGTATGTATGTATTTATGCATCCATGAATATATGCCTAGATGGATCAAGGCATTCTCCAGCTACGGGCAATGGAGCACTCCCAACTCAGCCGTGCACTGCAGGCTAACCAGTAGGCGAACAAAGTCGACCTTAGGCAGACGCAAAAAAGCTACAACATTTTTTTCATATCTGTTGGATTTTATTTTTGTCGTCATTGAAAAACAATAATAAGTCATTGTTACCTTCACTCTTGATACACTTAGAGGTGATATTTTCTTGGAATAGATTTAATGTTCTTCATGTGATTTTCTTTGGATTTATGTTCAATATGTTGTATTTTCGCGGAGCAGTATCGAAAAGTTAAGAAGGAAAAAAAATGCTACACTGTATGTCCTATGATCTCTTCATTTGCTAGTATAGTATATCTTATAACATACATGATGTTAATATTCTAGGATCTGCGTTTGAAACAACTCCATTGTATCTACTTTGTAAAGGAGTGTGGCTTCACAGTAATTGTTGTATTTGCTGATAACAGCGCCTCCAATCATAGAGTTACCAGTGATCTGGCGAAACCAAGCCTAACGTTTGTTGAGAACCCAGATGTTGCTGATTTAAAAAAAAAAAAAACTATTGCATGATTCTGTAAATTTGCTAAAATGCCAATGGAGGAACTGGATCAACCAGAGGGACGCAGACATTTACTTATCCTTTAATGACTGGACAAATGCTAAATGTTTGTGATACTGATAGAGCTTCAGAAGCTTATTGTTATCATTTAAATAAACTTTTCTACAACGCCATCTATCGCTCCAGCATGGACGGACAGAACTTCCTCTTGCTCTGGCAATTTTTAGTAAATCTTAGTAATCTTAGTTTTAGCTCCATGGCAAACGGGTCACCCCATAGTTTCTCTGCACCTGTGCCAGCGACAAACACACAGAATATTCATCATAATCCCTTGTGGAAAGATTGACAGACTGCTGTCTCAGCATATGCACTAGCATACACACGCATTAAAAGCATAGTGTAGCTATCAGAAGTGCTAACACAAACAGTCCTACATTAGGAATGCAGTTCTTCATCGACGGTAGCAAAAGTTACCTACAGATCCACAGTTGCACACGCCATCAATTTTAATCATATAAGGGCCCCAGTCGAAAAACATTCCAAATAAAATCAGCAGCTCACAGTGACGCGCCATGCACTGCACTTAGTAGCTGGACGACATAAATCCTGTTCCACAAATCCCCTCAATACTTGTGCCATTCATGTCTCGTTATTTATCTTGATTCTCTAACCTTCCATTTTGCCCCATTTAGTCAATGTTTATATTTGCGATACGTCACTTAAATGTCTTTGTTACTGGTGAATGGCTTTGTTGATCTCACACTTGCAGCTCTCATTTCCTCAGATTTTTTTTTCTTTTCTACCCACATTATTATCAACATTCTTCTCATAAACCACGTCTACACTGTCTTCAGTTTCATCGTTGGCGTCGTAATCATCATTATCTTTATCAACTTCCACATTGGCAGTTATTCATAGTTTGGAAGAACAGATTATGGCCCAGAGCTCGATGGGTAAAAATGGCCACTGTCATTATGTGTGGAACTACAATACGGCTTATTCTTCTTTGCTGAAACAGTTAACGCTTCGCTTGTCCAGGCAGACGAAAGGTTCTGTTTCTTACTCTTCTGGCCACAGTACAGTTATATGGTTTCTTTTGTGTTATATTAACAAGATACAGATGT